AGGCGTGGTCAAGGTCGAAAGAGAAAAACTACACGTTTGCAAGATCGCTACATCGTCAACTGTGCTTTACGTAACCGCACCACAACTGCAAGAGATCTACAAAATACACTAAGGACGGCTACTGGTGTAGAAATTTCCGACCAGACGGTAAGAAATAGGTTGTTGGAAGCCAATTTGAGATCACGCCGACCAGTTCGGGCTGTGCGTCTAACAATTCAACATAGACAAGCTCGCCGACAGTTCGCGCAAAATCACGCTAATTGGCAACTTCGACATTGGAGGCCAGTGCTTTTTACTGACGAATCACGATTCCGTCTAACACGTTGCGATGGTCGTCTCCGTGTTTACAGACGCCCAGGCGAGCGATACAGTGCAGCAGCAGTCCGGGAATATGACAAATTTGGATGTGGCTCTGTGATGGTTTGGGGCGGAGTTAGTTTGGACGAGCGCACAGATCTCGTCGTTGTTCCCGGGCGCTTGTGTGCTCAAACTTACATTGAATATGTGCTCGAAAATCATGTTTGGCCCGCAGCATATGGTATGGGCCCAGATTTTCTTTTAATGCAAGATAATGCCAGGCCGCATACTGCAGCCATCACGTCAGATTACTTACGACAGCAGGAAATCCGTGTAATGGAGTGGCCTTCCATGAGCTCTGACCTAAATCCAATTGAACACATTTGGGACTTGCTTGACAGGCGCATCCGGAAGCGTCCGATTGCATCTCAAACACTGCCAAGGGCGGATCCAGCTTTGGCGCCAGGAGGGGGTCACATAGTCGTGGTCAAGTCAAGAACTTATAATTTAATTTTGATAACAATAGATACAAGTAAAAAGTAGGTATTTTATTAATGTACGTAAGTATTGCAATTAAAAATATTTATTCTTTATTGTACACTTGAAAAACTTAACACATAATATTGTGTAACTTAGTAAGTACATACAAGTTGGTCCAACTAGTGACGTCAATAATTTTTTTTTAGATTCCTCACACCTGGGACGAAAATACCCCATGTATGTTTCGCGATTTTTGTAGTTTTCGATTTATAATTATTTTTGTGTTTTTTGAATGTTTTCTGCCAGCGAGGTTTCAAAAATTCCTATCTTTTTTTGTTGTAGGTATTTTGCAGTTTTTTTTCTGTGAAATGATTGTCTTAAATGTTGTTCAAATAAAAAAAATCTCAGCTTCCTATAATTAGTTAAAGCTACTCAAAAAAGGTTTTAAAGTTAGAAGTTTAGTTTTTAGCTGGATTTGTCCCAACATTCGACTTCAATTTAAAAATACAAAAAGAAGTTTCCATAGGTTCTGGCTAAGTTTAAAAACTCCGCAGGTTTCTAAGCTACCAAAATCATAGAAAAAAAATGGTACTTAATTGGTATTTTATTGTTGTAATCGGCCTTTAAGGTGGATAGGCTAAAAATCATTGAAGCATTAATAATGTTTTTTTTCGACTTTTATTATTCTTATAGTGTGATTTTAATACCCATTAAAAAAAGTAGCTTTCCTTCGGGTAAACCAGCTCTTTGAAAAATCTCCAAACGTTATCGTTATGTATTCAAGTTGGAGGAAGGAGTTTTGAAAATTTATTACAATACTAGCTGATAAAGTCGGCGGCAAACGTCGTTTTTCCATGTATATCATTTATAATAAAAAATAGGGGTTGATCGTAGAGGGGTGAAAATTGGGGGTTGTATGTATTTTTTAATGCTGTATCATGAAAAAATAAAAAAATCTTTATCTAAAAATTAAAAAGTAATAATTTAGAGGAGGTCCGATTCTCAGACATACCCAATATGCATACAAAATTTCATGAGAATCGGTCAAGCCGTTTCGGAGAAGTTCGCACGAAGTTCGAGTGTCGAAACACCGCGAGACGAGAATTTTATATATTAGAAATAGTATTTTTTCAGTAAATTGTGTTTTTTATTTGTTATTAAAAAAACAGGTAATTTCACAACTAGCAATACTCATTTCGAATAACATTTTGAATTTTGAGTGGTAAGACCAAAATTATTGTAAGAATTACACGAGCTACTTTTTTTACGGGTATTAAAATTAGTAAAAAATAGATCGTAAAGTTTCATTTGCCATAAGAAAAATAAAAGTTAAAAAAAAAAACAGTTTTAATGCTTCAATGATTTTTTGCCTATCCACATTAAAAGGCCGATTACAGCTACATTTATTTTACGGGTATTAAAATTAATTAAAAAACCACATTATTAAGTTTAATTTACCATATGAATAAGTCGAAAAAAAGCATTTTTAATGCTTCAATGATTTTTAGCCTATCGACAAAAAAAATCCACAGATTACAACAAAAAAAGTACCATTTTTTTTCTATGATTTTGGTAGCTTAGAACCCTCAGGAGTTTTTAAATTTAGCCAGAAGCTATGGAAACTTCTTTTTGTATTTTTAAATTGAAGTCGAATGTTTGGGCAAATCCAGCTAAAAACTAAACTTCTAACTATAAAACCTTTTTTGAGTAGATTTAACTAATTTTAAGAAGCTAGGATTTTTTTTACTTGAACATCATTTAAGGCAATCATTTAACAGAAAAAACTGCAAAATACCTACAGCAAAAAAGATATGACTTTTTTAAACCTCGCTGGCAGAAAACATTCAAAAAACACAAAAAAAATTTATAACTCGAAACTACAAAAAATCGTGGAACATACATGGGGTATTTTCGTATCCCCCAGGTGCAGTGTGACGAATCTAAAAAAATTTATTGACGTCACTAGTTGGACCAACCTGTATACACGTACATATTACCATCTTCTCTTGAAGACAACCAGAGAAACACTATCACGTATTTTTTTTTTTTTAAGTGGAATCTCGCTGTTGGCCTTTAGGGCCTTTACAGCTCAGCTCGGGCTGTTTTGGCGAGCTTGGCTCGGCCGCACTATCACGTACGGAATGAGGCAGCCTATTTATATAACATAACCGTGGTGAATGATTTGTCATAACAGCTAGAGGTATGTCGAGGGGTATTACGCTAAACTTCGCAAAAGTGAAGAGATGGTACGACAAGGGATTCCATCAAACAAAATAGAAACAGACAAATACATACATTTTAATAACTAAATCAATTTTTCTTTAACGTGTTTTCCCGAAACGCGTTATTACGTCATTTACGTGAACGGGTACGTTTTCATGAACGTGGAGAAGTGCCAGTCTGGTTAGGCGATCTTCAACCATTGAAGATCTTAGCCACGATTTAATTCTGCGCAACGTAGAGAAAGACCTTTCTGCTGTCGCTTCGCTGACAGGGTAGTGTATCCAATTTTCCTATATTAGTATACATATTGATGTCACAATTTAAAATAAGACTATGTTATGATATGTTGAAGTTTAGTCGTTCCGATTCCGATTGAGGTAAGGTCTAGCTAGACGTTTCATAGCAACAAGCGCGCGCAAGTGTGGCGCGGAAAATTCAAATTTTCGATGCGTTCATTCCCAAACGTTTGCCATCATACAAAGTTATTATATTATATTAATTAAATATTGAAGGTATGTAGTTACATATAATCTGTATGGTGACAAATTTATATATAAAATCATTATGTTCAATTAGTGGTCCACCTTAGTCCTGCTCAGGGGGGTCATGACCCCCATGACCCCCCCTGGATCCGCCGTTGAACACTGCAGCAGCTCACTGAAGCGTTGATTGAAGAATGGGAGCGAATTCCACAAGAAGATATTCGGAGGATCATACAAGCATGCCGCGTCGTTGTCAAGCCGTGATTAGGGCTCATGGAGGCCACACACGTTACTGAAAGTCACTAAAGACGAATATTCAAACGATATAAGAATATTTCTTTGATGGACCTTTTTTATCACCAATTACTTTTTCGTCTACAATGCACATTTTAATTTTTTTTAATAAAAAAAATACAAATTGAATTTTTTTATTAATTGTAGTAATTAACAAATTAACCAGGTAAAAAATTGCGTTCAAGTTAATTTAAATCTTATTTTAGATTAAGCAATAGAAAGGAGAAAAATCTTGTTCCGCTAATTGTTTTGAGCAGTATATAAATATACGTTCATAGAAACATTCTTCCTCCGGCCTCCCTACCAACAAGCAGTGTTGCCAGATCAGACGATTACCCCCTAGATTTATGGGTTTCTCAACCGAGTTAGGGGCAGAACAGGGGGAAAGAATATTTGGAGGTTTTATAAGGGAAATGTTAAAAACACGCCAAATACAGTTTTTATTACGATTTTGGAACAAATTGAAGTATGAACACATCGTAAGAATGTAATTTTTTTTTAAATAAGATCCGTGTGGTACCCTTACTAATTGTATATTCGTTTGAGTTGTCAAAGAACGATGTGATTTTAATTAAATATAAATTCTAAAATTACATGATAATTCAGTATTAACTGAATGAAACTGATGACGGCATCCTAGGGGATTTCTGGGGGCAAATCAAATTAGTCTAGGGGTACATCGTCGAGACCATCTGGCAACACTCGCGACAAGGCTCAACACCACCCCAATCCATTGGTGCGTAAAAGCATCAATTACTACCTCTTCCAGTCTTCCCGATAAAATAAATGTGTACTTAAAAACTACTTACTTACTCCTCTACGATATATTTTTATTTCTTCCTACAATCTAAAAATATTCGTTAAGTTATTCTAAAAAGTTTTTAATACATATATTGTGTTATCTGCTCTTGTAAAGTAAACTGTGTAAGAGTGTAAGCTGTGGTAAATTAAAGCTTTGTCTGTCTATAGTGACTACGTCTTGATTCTAGAGTAAAATTTAGATTTTGGAATTAAGATTCGTAAATTGCTATGAATGAAAGAAAGTAGCAGACATTTGTGCCTTTAGCGATCCGATTTCCAAATATTTCTTATATTTAGTTCTACTGTCGCTTGAGCATTGGAAAGATGTTGAGTGAATTTATGTTTATTTGATTTATTTATCAACACCAGGTTATAAAATATATAAACTATATTACTTTATTTACTTATTACTTAAACGGGATCATGGAAACTGTTGACGAACATCTAGTAATTAGCTCTACTATAGATGATGTCAAAACGCAATTCCACGAAGTAAAGCCGACCGACATCGCTGATTCGAATGTATGTCACAAGTCCAATGGAGTTGACTCTACTTCAAGTGTAGAAATTATAGTTGAATCAGTAGAAGAAAACAATATTTTAGACCCTGAGCCTAAAGATGTAGTTCTTGAGAAATCGGAAGAGGAAATTCCTGAATCTGGAGATAACGACTCTGAACCTGCAAGTAAAGGTAATATTGGAATTACAGATTCTTCCAAAATAATTGACAATTCCGGTTCAGAAGAATCTATGGGCCTTGCAGTTTTTGGTGAACAGTCTAAAGAAAAACCAGTCATTTATACTGTTGAAATTATAAATGAGGTTTCAAGTAAAGACATTGATAGTAATATTGAACAACCTCGTGTTACTACTGAAACTACTGTACAATCTCTGGATTGTAAAAATGTTGAAAATGAAGTACTCACATCAGTGGGTGAGGTAGTAGACCATGAGGACAAGGTGAATAGTGGATCTTTAGGTTTAAGTTCCAACACAGAATTGTGTAATGTAGAATATTCAACATTAATTAATGAAGGTGTTCATTTTGAAACTGAGGTATTAATAGAAAAGAATGATAATGATGTGAATGAAAATGTTGTTCAAACAGAAATATGTTGCAATGAAACTGTTTCTGAAAGGCATAATAGTATTTTAAGTGAATTGGAAGAGAATATTGAGTTAAGTGAAGTTCTTCAATCATCTGATGTCAATGATACTTCAGAAAATAATAATTCTACTGCCAAAGTAGAAGTATTTAATAAGGAAGAATTGTTAGATATATTAGAAGGTAAAGATGTACCCGATCTGCAAACTGAAGAAATTGTGAAAGAGAACACTGAAATAATGAGTTCAGACCAGGAAGTTCAGCAAGCATTAAAGCAAATTACAATGCTTAAAAAAATTAGGAAACGGAGAACACCAAGAAATGAACAACAAATATACATAAAACAGTTAAACAAACCTGTCAAAGAAAATTTTGAAAACAAAGAGGATGGTATAAAAACTGAGGTAGATGCTGTGATAAAACGTAATACACCAAAAAGTAAGGAAAAAGATAATTTAAAAACATCAATTGAAAATCTAAAAGATACAAAAAGTGAACTCGTTGTTCTGCCAAAACGAAGTGCAACAAAAAATAAGGAAAAAGAAAAGTTAATCGAAAATGTTGCTGTATTGAAAGAAGAACCCAAAAATGAAGAGACAGTTGAATCTCTACCAGAAAAGGATAAAAATATTGTCAATGAATTAGTTATGGATTGGGATGATGATGAACAAACTGAAACTAACAGTATAGCTCCAAAGGCTGAAAAAGGTGACTTAGTTAATGAGAAAGAAACTGTGGTGGAAAACATTGAAAATAATGTAGAGCAAACTAGTCAATCACCTGTTGATTGTTTAGTAAGTGAAGAACAGCAGCATAATAAGAGTATTGAAGATTGTACTGGCAAAAGAAGATTGTCTCGTGTTATAAAGAAAAAGGTTATTTATGATCCTGATAACCCTGACACATTTACTAAAAGCAAAACACCTTTAAAAACTCTCTCTGGCAAAGAACAACCATCTCTAAAAAAGAGTAAACTTGAAACTCCTATATTACAACAGAGGAAGTCAAGAAGCCCATCATCAAAACTTCAATGGAAAAAACCTAGTCCAAGAAACAGCAAGCAGCACAAAAGATTATCTGAAGTGGATAAGTTGCTAATGGATGAGGGTGCAGTGAATATGATTTACCAATTAACTCCTGAAGCCTCTAAAGGTAGAAAAAATGTAAAAACCAAAGCAGAATTTATAAAAAAATTACAAAGCTCAACTCCTGATGGAAAGGAAATGAAGTTCAGAGAAAGAAAAAAGGAGTTGAAATATGAAGACGGTGAAGCAAAAAAGCTTTCAGGTGGTAAACATAGACCTTCACTAAGTAATTCAGTTAAATCTCCTTCAGCTAGTGATGATTTTGAGACTCACAGTGCCGATGACTCAATTATTTATCGTCGGCATTCCTCAAGTTCATATTCAAGTAGCTGCATGAGTCCCCGTCGTCTGAGTGATGTGGAAGGCTCTCAAAATGCTAAACAAACAAAATTAGAGGCACAAACTCTGAATAACACAAAAATGAATGAGTCACAAGATCAGTCTCAAGAATCGACATTTTTATCTGATGCAAACTTAACTTTAATAGAAGAAAAAAGTGACCTAATTAACAAAGAAGACTGTCTTTCTTTAAAAGAAAAGCTTAATACAAAGTTGTCTCTTGCTCTAAATAAAAGGAAACGTGAGAGTTCGACATTGGAGAAACCAACTAAACAGAAAAAACTAAAACCAGAAGCTACCAACTTAAGTGAAAAAGAAAATTCTAATGTGTTTAAATTTGTATCGGTAAAAATAGAGCAACATTTGGCAGAAATTTGTCTGAAAAAAACAGGACTAAAGGATAGCATTGAGGTTAATATTTATAGTTTTCTTAAGTCATTAAGATAAACTCAACAAATATTGCTGTAATAATTTTACCTTTGAGCATTCACAAATTACTTAATAACTTTGTTACTTTAATCTGTGGTAATCTGCTTTGTGTTCATCCTTTATGCCAATGAAATAATATTGGCCAGATCCTTCATAAATATATTTTTTTAAATTTCAGGTTTTCAATGAAATAAAAAAGGCATTGTTATGTATAGATGAAAACCCAGATATTGCAGTGACTTTGCTCTCCTCACAATGTGGAACTCTCTGCTCTAGTCTAGACTTGAGCATACTTTTAGATGACAATAGTGAAATCAGGCACAAATATGCATACACTCTTGCAGAATCTGTAAGGTAAGCAATCATTTATGAAATTGTTTGCAAAATAGAGTGTACTATTAAACAGTATCAATGACAATGCATGTCGGCAAGCTCTTTGCCTTAACAAGTCTTAACATGCAATATTTATAAAAGTTATTGGGAAAATCAAATATATTTGTAGATATATTTTATAAAGTAATTTTATATATATTTTTTTTTTAATTATGTATATAACCTTGTCTAATTTGAAGTTAGACATATACATCACAAGTATTTTGTATCTATGCAAAATGAAGGATTTTGATCTAAAGAACCCAAGTCACTGTTTGTTTAAGAAATCATTATTCCCTAGGTCGCTGTTTTCTGCTGCCAGTGGACACAGCAAGCTCCTTTGTTGTGGCGTATGGGGCGCTTGCTCTGGGCCGGCAGTGTCACTAGTGTCTTTATGTGACTTGGCCTTAGCGTCCGAATGCGCCACTTTCGCGCTGGCCGTACCCGCCGCACCCCCATTGCCTGGCGCAGCTGCTATTGTTGCGCCACATCGCGGCCTACCGCAGTCAGTGGTCAGTACTTTATAAACCACTACTCTCTTATTCATGAATGAGTCAAAACATTCTTTGACTGATTGAGGTTTATATTTAAGGCTGTAAGTTTAGTGTATGTAGCAAACCGATTCATGTATCAGGTAGGTTAGGATATATGATTTTAAATTTGGTTTTATGTGGGTATAAAACGTCTTGCGTTCATTCAATTATAGCAGTGTGAAAAAATATAATTAGAAAGTAAATTGATTCATAACACTTAAGAACATACAATACCCTGTCTTTTCTCAGTTATAAATAATAAGTGAATTTGACAAATGACGCAAATTTCTAGGTATGTATATTATGTGAAGTTATTTCCTTTTGCAATTATGAATATTTAATTTTATTTGTATTATTTTAATTTTTATAACCTTAATAAAAATTAACTGATTATTTCGAATACTACACTTGTTAGGTTTGTTTTATACTATATTCCTCGCATAATTGACTAATTTTAAAAACATGATTCAAGGTGAGTAATTTGGTGGTCCTCGGTCGTCGTATATCAGCGTCAGAGGCACTGCAGGGCGGACTTATTAGTCGCACTCTGTGGCCAGACAGGTTTGACGAACAAGTCAGGAACATTGTAAGGGACATCGCCCTGGAACCACCAAACGTGAGTACACTTTTATCTTTCTGTTATCATCCTCACACACTTTTAATTCGTGGCTAGAGGTTGAGGAAAGAAAAGCGCGGTGGTTATGCAAAGTAATATAATTCTTATGCTACACGTCAATCGTTTATTCACAAAAATTATTTTATTTTGACATATTAAGTATCAAGATGATTACTGTTGAACTAAAACGTAACAGTGTTGTCAAGGTATTTTAGAACTGCTGCAACCTGAAATCCGAGTTCGGTTCTCTTATCGCACAGATGCTAGTTTCTTGGTTCCTTCTAAAGTTAGTCCTGGATCTTGAAACATTAATAACATGGTGCATTACTATGCTGAGAAAGGCTTTGGTTTGCATCTTGATGTTCAGTAATGATGATGCTTTGAATGCCTGAATACTGGTATTTGGTATGGTAATAAGAAAATTAGGTATATTACATTCCTTTGTTTGCATAAAGTTAACAAAAAAATATTATAAAATCAAAACGATTGCCTAAATGTCCTCATAGCTATAATCATCACTAATCGGTTGACAAAAAGCTTTCCAACCAAGGCCTTGGTATAGCAATTCAGTTATTTGTATGTGTGTTACACCGCCATTATGTACGCAAATATGATTTTTGGGACACAAACAAGATTGGTATAGAGTTAGTAGATGATTATCGACATTTCCGCAAAAGTCGCCGGATTTGCAAAGGGGCAGCGATGAACAATGATATGTAGCATTATTGTCTACTTCAGTTTTTATCTTCCAATAGTTTGGATACCGACATCGGCAAGAAAGAGTTATTTTAGGCGGCGTGAGTTGTATGTTCTGATGATGCATTTGCTCTATTTCGTCCGGGTTCAGTATCCTGTGAGATGTCTCGACGTGAAGTGGAGTATCGATTGGGTTACACTCCGGCCAAGTTGAGACAGGAGTGCAGAACTGTAATCAATTTATTAATATAGTACACGTTTTACCTGCCGTATGTAAAAGGGAGATTAAAATTACTCTAAAAATTTAATAGTTATTTTTGTTTTGAAATAAAAGTACTTTATATGTTAACTTAAGATTTAGTTGGATTATAAACAAATAGTATAAAGTCTAACAAAATAAACGAATTCTAAATTTATTGATATTATCATATTGTTAATAGAATTATAATAATCATGAAAAATATACCTGTAAATAAGCGCGATTGTTGATTTCAATAAGTCTATCGGGGGATGCGGGTGTGTCGCAGCGCTGACGTCGCGTGCATCGACAAAGCCGTAGTAGCGCACGCGGACGCCAGTAACGTGCTACTAGTGCGGAGCACGCTTGCCCTTGCCCACATCGAGGCAAACCACGCTCACTTTCCTCCTGTTATTCAGTTATTAGAGTGCAATTTTAATCTATATAACGAATATATAACTGATAGTATTAGTGCTCTGTGATTAAAGATCCATAAGAGAAAAAAATGTTTTTTGCCGGTTTGTTTGATAATTTGTGAATGTAGTTGTGCCTTACCATCAAAATCTAAACATTTTGATCCGGATGCAGATAAATCCGTTGAATAAACCAAAAAAATTGAGGGATTTATATATAGTATTGGTATTTAATATGTTATATGTTTCTATTTTAAATAAAAAAAACTTACTAAGCCATAGTAGTACAGCACAGTTGCATTATCTTCGCTACTAGTAATATCCAAAATCAAAATAGCAAGTAAAAATGTTAGTAATGCATCCATTTTTAATAAAATCTAAATACTTGTGATTTATTACGCTTCTCTCCATACTAATGCTACACTAATAAAAACTGTTTAGGTCATAACCCATATTGATAAGATAATACTTGTTGAATAACAGAACTTTATACTAAATAAAACTGTATATGTACATCTTTAATAAATCAAATAACATTTTTAGGGCACATTGCTTAAGAAGCGTCTTCTTACTTTGAAAAAGTCTGGAGGAGCCGAGTCGTCTTTCTTGAACAGCTTGGAGTCTGAACGGGATCTGCTTGTCACGTACTGGACGTCCGAGGAAGGTCAGGCACTTTTAAGAGCGGCTCTTGACGCCGCTTAAACTGTACGCCCTTAACTATGAAACCGTTTCCATCTGATACAATTGAAGGTACTATTTTAACGCCTTACTATCTATATTATCATTGTGTGATCATTGTATGCGGCTATGAGCGATGTACTTCAGTATCTTTATTTTGGAACCTTACATTTAGATTTGCGTCATTGATCTTTAAATGGACTGCCTCACTTATTTCACCATATGATTTATATCAGTTATGTTAAGATATTAAAGAGGAGGACAATACTTGTACTTGTCTTCCTCTTTATTGTTGTATAGGTCCAATAAATCACCAGATGGAACGGTTAAATTATTTTCAATTTCTTTATAGTTAACTATACTTTTAGTAACATCTCGCTATTTTTTTCTTGTTATAACACTATTTAAAAGAAAGAACTGTTTTTTTAATTTAACATTTCTGGTAACGGTATACTTAAATGTATGCTGTAAGATGAATCCATCGAGAATTTATATCTGCTTTGTATAAAGTGATGAATTTTAACATGGTCAATTATAAATACAGCACTATAAACTAGGCCTTTTTAAGCTTATATTATTTACTAATATAGGCCTTTTGACTTGACCAATTGCGTTAGCTATTAACGTTAGTTTATGTTGGTGGACGTTTTCATAGTAGTTGAAACTATAATTTTTGTTTGAAACGGTAAATATATTTTTATACACTATACTAAAACAATTTATACACACATGAAGGGATAATGTGTTATGTATGGAACGTAATAAGGCTAGTTTTATTAACGAGTTAAATATATTGGATAGAGTGAATGGTTTGAATGGGATTCACCTTATCATATCGAAATAGTTTTTCAATGTTAAACGTGTTTTAAATATACAAAATTAAAATTAAGTATTCTTAGGGACATTTACTAATATAATTTGGCATTTTTTTTGATAACGTCAAACCATGATTATTAAGAAATCTAAGAATATAAAAAAAAATGTTTTACGTTAGATCACTTTCATGTTTTATTTGGTAAAAGACTGCTGTTTACATTTAAACGTGGTTTAGACGTTGCATGTTTTGAAAAAGTGTTAAATTAAGGGTTTTAGATTTAAGAAATAGATTATATTGTTATGTTGTAGATTAAATTGTTTATCTATTTGTTCTAGATGTTTATTTCTTTATATAAAGGATGCAAAATAGTTTATGATTTCAGCCAAAGTTATGCACTGACTTACATATAAATTGATAAATTGTCTTAAGCGACGTAATTTACATACTATCTTTTAATATTAAGTAATTTACATTTGTATTTTCGGTGCAATTCATTCCTTGCCCTGAAACCCGTTTCTGTAGTCTGGCTCGCTGTCGCATCAAAACTGTGGAAACGACAATTTAAAATTGGCGTCAGCGTCCAGCTACGTTGACGGATTTTTGTCTAGGGCCCCTTATCTGTAGACTACCTTGATTGGGGTATTAATTTATCAGATTAATTTCGAATACAAGTAGGTATACCTAGATATAATTATATTAGTTTTATTTGTGTTTAAGCATAGCAATAACTTATTTTCTGTTTTTTGGAGAAAATAAAGTGCCTTTCTTAAATTAATTGTATTATTTTACTTATCACCATCACCCTTTTCCCTTTGTAACGATATTGCACAAAATGACTACGCTATGTGCCAATGCGGACACTGTTCTTTCATTAATAAAACCTGTTACAAACAGGAAATTCTTGTTCTATCGACTTTACGATGAATCACATTTTATGCAATACGTGCATATTGATTAATTAGATTCACCCGTAAAATATTTCGTTTAATATAATATTTAATGTATACTTTAATATTTCTCATTTAATTTGATAATTTGTAGTAACTGCTTCTTGTAACAATCAACAGTGATAAGGTTAAAGAAATAAAATTTTAATGAAAACTTCAAAGTAATGTATTGCTACTTAATATATAAAATAGTGTATATGTATGAGTTTTTTCTCTTGTAGTCACAATGTGGTAGTCGCTGCACATTGATTCTTGTTTTGTTAACAAGGTACTACATAAATATATAAAATACGCCTTCGTGTGACTAGAAAGTTATTGAAATACATAACACGCATCCCCAATTCCAATTAAATTCGTCACGTACAATCTAAATCATATTTATTATCTCTCTCTTAATAAATATAGTGCACGATAGTCTACGATTCATATTAATGTCAATCTAGTGTCATGCCTCAGATGTCTCTTTATTGTTGATCTATTTCTTTGATATTTTTTTTCTAATAGAATATCAAACAGGAGATAGCCAAATAAGAAAATTAAGGGAAATAAAATATCAGTTATCGCCAATTTTGTTAAAGCCCCTTTACATGCAATTTTTTACATACAAAAGCACTTACTGAATGCAATACATTTTGCGGAATAATTGACCTTTATTAAAGTATGCAACAAGGAAGACATTTGCACCGTGTTAGGATTTAGATAAATGTGTTTCCATTCAAATAACAAATAATCAAAAATATTTTATTTCAAATTCTGTCAGCAACGTTTGATATAATAGGTTTCGGTCGCGACTTAAACAATAATTTCTTTTTAACTACAGCTTTGACTGCATATTCCACTTTGCCGTTAATTTCGTTTTTTTCAATAACTGCCATTGGCTGTTCTAGTTTCATCTCTTTTCCGTTCAAAACATGATGTCCTAAGATTAGTACGGGATGTTTGTTCCTATTAAAGAAATGCAAATCCCCGACAACGGTTGGTCCAGATTGATCCTTCTTAATTTGTATGAGCCCTTGCACTTCGACTATGGCCCATTCGGGAACGCCAGACTCCGTCTCGGATTTACTGAAAAACACTACCATTATTGCGGGTCGGAACAACTTTGGTATGGGAAAGGCGAAAATTATTTAAAAAACAATTTCATTGTGTAATCAATTTATTAAATTTGTATGATTATATATCTGAAACAAAAAGAAAAATTAAGTTCTGTCGAAGACACTAAATGTTCACATTGAAGGTAAAAATACCTATCAAATCAGTATCGGAACTTCTTAAAAAGCGGATGCTTATTATGCTGTCCACGGCGATGCTCCAGATACAGCGCATCATCAGCTCCAGCCAAAGAGGACAGAGGGGCTGCGCGACGTGACACGCCCCCACTTCCGCCTAGCCCACCCTCCCTCTCTTCCTCACATTCTGTTTCAGATGCTGCTAATACCTACAACATATATTCAATTTCGTTTTACTTATTACTCTTCATTATTAATCCAGTTCATTTTTCATATAGGTAAGAATTTATTATGTATTCATAAATTTGTATTCTTTGTCTTGTGTTTCGTATGTCATACACGTCGTATTGTCGTATCGATTGTATAGGTGTAACAAGCATTATTTTATCATATAAATTAGTTATTCAGGCCGGCCAAACAATGGTTAGACTAAACGTATTATGGAAAAAAGTGTACGAGATAGGAACCTTTAGGTCGGACCTACAACCTACAACATACTTCCCTCAGAATATCAAACATTTTTAGAAATCACAGCTTTTAGACGTTTGCCATTCAAACCTTATCGCAGGCCTTTCATAATCCAGAGACGCACTAATTTACGCACAAACTGCGTCGGAGAATGAAGAAAACAAGATATTGCATAATCAATGCTTCTGGATAATTAATTCAGAAAGTGTAAAAAAATTTAAATAAATAAAGTTTTTAAATTTATGTATCTAGACAAATGATATATACCTGTTGTAGCAACATGCCTTGTTCCTCCCTGGTTCCATACATTAAATCGGGCTCTTGATCCATTCCCTTCAATTCTGTAATTACCTTTAATAGACGGTTAAAATATGAGTAAATATATTGTAAATTAAAACTATTTTCTTATTATTTGCAGTTGCATTATTTGCTCTGAGTGAATATGTGATAAAATATGTCGAAAAATCACGCGAAACAACTTCTTAAAATCGTAAAATTAAACGTTCATTTTTTTATAATTTAATATTACATACCTTATAACTGTACCCCTGATTGACAAGAAACCGTTGTCTTTTCCTACTGTATGCCATTTCCAAAGTATCTTGTGAGACTAATGTATAGAAGAACGCGTTGTATTCCTCTGCGATCGCACCTTTCTTAGCTCTTAGAATACGACCTGAAAATAAAATAATAATAATTTATTCAATAAATGTCTTTATAGTGATTTAATAGGAAATTTATATATAATATATATAAATTACGTGTCGCGTTGTTTGTCCGCTATGGACTCCCTAAACTACCGAACCGATATCAATCAAATTTGCACACCGTGTGCAGTTTGATCTTACTTAAAAGATAGGATAGCTTACATCTCAATTTATAACCGCAATATTATTTTATTGCAAATATTTGTTTATTATTTGATACAATTCTAACAGATGGCGCTGTGTTAAAAGTACCAACATAAGCTACAATATAATTGCATAACCACCAAAAACGCATAGTGGTGATGACTGGCGTTCTCCTACCGTTTCCCTTGAATAGTTTACTATTATGTAATATAACAAAAACCTTAGCCACAGCAACGCTTGGCCGAGTCTGCTAGTATATTATATATTTTAGATAATCCGTTCAAGCTACACAGGACACGGTAACAGGATTGAGCCGTCAAGAAATAGGGTGACAGGGCAAGTGAATAGCGCCAGAAAATTCATAAGAAATTCTGTCACGTATAACTATCCGACCGTGTTGAAAAAATGTATAATGCAATGTCGGGATAAAAGATGGCACTTAGTCTAATACATTTGGGATTATATTATTTTTAATATAACCCAAGAAAAAATAAAACGCTAAATTTGTAGAAAATGAGAATAATTATCAGAATTGTCTTAATGTAATCAGTAAGAATTGGTAAAAATATACGGTAAAAGAACTACTTTTATCTTATATTTGGGGCAATAAATGATTTTTAATTATTTATAGAGATAAGAATCGTATATCAAATTACAATCTCGTAAATTTGAAACCAGATTTAAGTCTAATTGACGTTCCAGAATTCAAGTTGAATCCCGTATTCGGGCCTTGTACATACCTAACCGCTGTGCTTCTTGCCGCCTCGAACCTCCGTGTGAAGAAATTTGTATAAGAACATTCGCTTCCGGGAGATCAAAACTCGTATCGGCGACTTTGCTCACAAATATTGTATTAACCTTTGGGTTAAACTTGAAGTTCTGTAGGATTTGTATTCTTTCGTTCTGCGATGTGGGTCCATAAATGTATGGTTTGTTCATTTTGACCGAATAATGGCGTAACGCGAAGACGTTGTCTGAGAAAACTATTGTTTTGTCCCCGCGTCGTTCGTGGTAGCGTACGAGGAATTGGCACGCGCGGAATTTTGACGGATTCATTACGTAGAGTAGCATTTTTTTGTTGATTCTGAAATTTTTTTATTAAAATGAAAAATTACTTTACAAAAAGAGCCCTTTTACATTTATTTCTCTAGGATTCGAAGGCGGTATAACTAAAATTTTTCTTGATTATATATAATTAAGAAAAAACGTGTCAAAATTGTGTAAATAAAGTTGATAACATTGTTTTCAACGTAACATGCGCGAACGCAGAAACAATTTCTATAATTAAATTGCGCAATATTGATACTCAGAGATTTTATTTTAATTAAAATATGAAAATACTAACTTCTGCACGAGATACTCGCGGTAGAACTCAGGCGTCATAGGGCACCAGACTTCTGCACATTGGACACGAGCGATGAAGCCAGCCGCCTGCAGTTCCAGCCAATTGGCTTCATACAACTTTGGCCCGATTAAGAAGTTCAGATCTGCTATTTTGTCGTCCTCACGGAGGAGGGTCGCGGTTAGACCTGGAAATTATAATTCATTAGTACCAATATATTTTTTCCTAATTTCATTTGCCAATAAATTGATTATTATCGACTAAATATAAAAAGAAAATCTAGGAATACTTCGTAGGCAATAAACCCTTTCAAATATTATTAACTTTAAGAAATGAGAACGTTCTGTACGTGCAATTACAGAACCATTGGGGCGAACAATATGCAAAATCAAATATTTGTCGTTGTACAATAGACAAAAAGGAAAAACTTTAGCAAGAATACATCGTTCGTATAGGTTTTTGTATAATCTATACAAACGGTAAAGAAAATTCCCTTTAGTTCTTGTTAATAGATATTTGACATTTCGAATGCTTTTCGGCATCATTCCGTATGTTGCGCACAATAAAGAAATACAATTTGGTACCTAATTTAGCGTGCGAATGTACGATAGTGAGAACTCTTCGGAACATCTTAGCCGGTATAGTGTGGACCTCATCCAGCACCACCAAACCCCATTCCTGTGCTTGGAGCCACTTCATCGTCTGCTCCGCTTCCCATGATCTTCTCTGTCCATGGGTGATCATAGAGTAGGTCGTAATTAGGATACCAGCGCCCATGGGCTTGTCTTTGGCTTCTGACGTGAACCTAAAATGTTCTTTTAATTAGTATAAAACCGATTCTGATAATTTGTCTTACGCTCGGTTTCAATAGAACAAGTACGAGTAAATCCTTTTTTTTTAAACATAAAAACAGGGTTTTAATAGACATGGTTATAAATATAAAAAAAGTGTGTGTACTTATGTACACGTGTTAAAAGTTATACTTCTTTGGCGTACAAGATAAAATCTTCTTAAAAAAATAAATAAATCTACGTTTGTAGAAAAAACTAAAATGTTGACTGTAGCTAACTTCAGGGTGTCGTTTTTTGTCGCGCATCGTAAAAAGTATATTATTATATATTATATTTAAGACTATATGTATGTACCTGCAAATGGTGCTATCGTCAGCCGTAGACCAGCATTTGAACTGCTGTTTCCACTGTTCGACGGAGACACCGGAATTGCACAAAACAAGAGCTCGTTTGCGGACCGTACACACCGCGGTTACGCCTACTAACGACTTTCCAGCACCGCACGGGAGTACTATTACCCCGGACCTTTAAACACATAACATGAGACAATTTCTATTCAAAAATTACACAATTATATGGTAGCAACAAACGAATAAAAAAATAAACTATAAAAATATGACATTATATAAAAGACCTTAAACTTATTTGTATATAACTTAAAAAAAACAACCGACGGATGAGGTTATGAATTCGACGTGTATTATTTGTTCATATTGAATAAACCGAATAAGAACGCGTTTAATAAGAACCATTTTACAAAAACTAAGTTTTGAAGTCGAAATAAATAATCGTAATTTTGTGGTAACCTTTTATACTCGCATATTAGTTTATCGATTGCATAGTGAGGATTCTTAAAAGAAAAGTATTTTTAAACAAGTGTTACCGTTTCAGATATCTGTATTAAATAAAATGTAATTACAGAATCATTATTACTGTGCTTGTTGTAATATAAAAGTAGAAAACAGAAAATAAACTTCAATCATATTTTAAACAGGAACAAAAAGTGGAGCAAAAAACTATTAAACTGGTTCCCACGGTACAGCACAAGAGGGGAGACAACTTAGAAGGTGGATAGACCACATTAAAGAAACAGCAGGTGGTACCTGGCAGAGAGTGGCACAGTGCAGAGAGGAATGGCGGGATTTGGATTGAGAAGCGGATTAAAATGGAAATTTGTTTAAATGTAAATTTGAATGTATCTGAATAAAGGCTATTATTATTATCAAATTTTAAAATACAACATATTACAAACTTACATTTGTTCTGTGGCTCTAATGAGAATAATAACTACATTAAATAAAAATACTTAATTTAATGTAGTACCTAGCTCGTCCATTTCCGAACATTTTTCTCAAGCTCTTTTCTTGATATGGCCTCAGAACAGCTGTGGGTTTAAGGTCA